GCCCTAGTCTACTCCACTGATCTCAGTGGAAACTATAGAACTGAACCAGATCCCATTTCCATTGTCCTCTTTATTTTATTGATAATGGATGGGACCTGAAGAGCAGAATTTTATAGATAATGAAATCTAAGGAACTTGGCTAAATTAAAAACATTCCTTCTTGTTTTCTTTATGCATTGTTTAACTTTGGGCAATGCTGTACTTGATCTTCCTCAGCAGGTGGCAATCTTAACAAACCCAATTTGGTTTTCTTAGTTTCCTGCTAACATTCTCGTGTCCCTAATGCGTAGTTTCATACATTCTGTTTTACAGCTATGCCACTTTGCTATCTTGTATACAGAAGAATGGGTAACTTGACCGTATGTGTTAATCTATAACAGTGTTTTTCAAATTTGGCAACTTTAAGATGTGTGGACTTCAATTCCATGCTGGCTGTGGAATTTTGGGAGCTGAAGTCCACACTTCTTAAAGTTGCCAAGTTTGAAAAACACTGATCTATATGATTCTTTCTCATTTCAAGATGGAGAGTTTTCTTTTTTCCTTTTTCCCAAAAGTGCTTTTGGCTTAGCACCTTATGTTACACCTAAAACTGGTCATGTTACTTTTTAAGATAAAGCAGATGTGGCTATGTCTTGAAGTGGATTAGGAACAAGAAGCAATTTAAATCTTCCTATGATGATGATTTTGCAAATATATTTTCAAAAGCAGTATGCTTCTGAATAGTGTAATCTGGGGGAAAACTATTCCTTTAGAAAATAAAAACTTTGTCCCAATAGAGAGAATAAAAAGGAATAGAAACCTGGCAAAAGAAATGCAAGTAATTAAGAATTCAATGGAGGAGCAAAGTTGTAGCAGGTATGGGTATCATTGTGTGAGCCTGTAAACTGAAAAAAAAAAAAAGATTTACCTTGATTTTTTAACAAGGATTATCCAAAACTGTAAGTTTATCATGAGAATAAGAATCAACACTAGACTTCCATTGTAGGGACTTCTGGGGAAGAAAAGGACTGAAGATGGTTCTGCTAAAAGTAGAGCCGACAACCGTAACAGAATGAAGAGTCGGTGAGTAGATTGGCTTTCTGATCATTCCTCTCCGGACAAGGAGAGGACTTGCCCACAAGTGCTCCAGACAACTGCTCCTCATGAGGAGACCACAAGATAGTCTCCAGCAGGTTTAGAGCTCTGGGAGACAAGGGAAAGTCATCTTGCTCAAACTGTGGTTGGTGCCTTTGAAAGGACACTAGGTTTTCATATTTTCTTTTTGAATCACTTTCAGAAATTGTTAACTGCTTTTCAGCTGTTAGGAACCTTTGGGTCAACAAGTTTTTACAGCACTGGATGGGTTTCCTTCAATCCTTAGTGAAAGAAGTTTTAAATACAAGTTTAAGGACTCCCCCCCCCTTTTGGAATAAACAGCAATAGGGTGATTAAAATTGATTTTAGAAAGTTACAAACAAATGAAGTGTCCAGATAAATTTGAAATAAGATTTTGGAATTAATTATAAAGAATTCTTTCCATGGGAAAATGCTTTTGTTTTGAATTCTTAAAAAAAAAAGATAAGACTTTAAAAATTGGACACTAGAGGAAACTAAAGGTTACAAAGGAGAAGAACACTCACACTCAACTCACAATTACAGAATGAAGCAAAATATTTTAACGTTGGACATATTGAAGGATATTTTTGAACAATGGACCAAGAAGTTAATTTTAAGAGTGCCTGCCTCTATAGATAGACTGTATTTAAAAGATATTATGGAAGAGGAACAAGTTTTGCTGGACAAGACTGAGACTGATCTGAAAGTGGATTTAAAAATAACAAGCTACAAGAATTATATGGAAAAAGATGCTACAT